GGGGGGGGTGGTGAGCCCCCTTCTTCATTGTGGTATTTTTTGCCGGCTCTTTTCTCGCGAGGTTGATCCCTTGCATCTTCAAGTATCCTTTCGTCCCAAAGTGGATTGTGCCTCCCCCATGCTTCGATGGTTTGTTTCTCGTTGATACTAGTTGAAAGGGTTGATCTTCCATATTCGTTTGCGATGATTGTTTGAATTCCACATCATTCACTTCTTCTAGTTCATTCTCACATAAAGGTTTTTTCCCTTCGGCTTTTTCTTTTTGCATTTTCTTCCGGTTTGGATCCGCTTGTAGGGCCACAATTACCTCTGGTTGTTTCGCCTTCAAGGGGGGTGTTGAGGCCTTGGTGGAAGTTTCCGGAAGAGTGTTGGACTCCCTGGGTACGATTGTCTCCTTTGGTACTTCTTTCTCTTTCTCCATGTTGGTGGGTTTGTTTGCCTCTTTGTTGTATGCTCCCGGAATAGTGTTGGACTCCTTGGGTGCGTTTATCTCCTTTAGTGCCTCTTCCTCTTTCTCCATGTTGGCGGGTTTGTTTTTCTCCATTTGCGCCACTTGGGTCACCTTTCCACGGGAGGGCTTTGGTTTGGAAGCTTGGGTCTTGTTCCTTTTGACTTCTTCCGGGTACAAATGACATTTTTTCGAGTAGTGCCCAATTTGTTTGCATCTATGACAAAAAGGAGGCACATATTCATAGATTACCTCTTGGAAGAGACTTTTACCGTCATATGTTTCAATTTCTAACTCATTTTGAAGCTCTTGAGAGACATCTAGCTCGACGAGGACCCGAGCAAAATTACATCGCCCTTTTGATTCGGTTAGCTTGTCCGTTGAGATAGGCTTTCCGATGATCGAGGCTATTTTTCCTATGGCATTCACATTCCAACATTCAAGAGGGAGATAGGGGAATTTCACCCAAACGGGCACAATTTTAGTATCGTCTTCTCCAATTCGGAACCACTTAGGGAGGGTTTTTAGCATAAGGCTTCTCCCATAAATGGTGTATGGACCCCTTTCAAGGACACTATCTCGGTCTTCCTTAGTTTGAAATTTGAACATAATCCACCCGTTGACATCGGGGATGTATTCATATTTCACTTCCCAAGAGTTGCATATTGTCAATAACGCCTCCTTTTCGGGATGCCTATGGGTGAAGTATCCCACAAGGCAATATCCCCATGTCATTTGCACATCATCAATATCTTCCTTCTCCAATCGAACTTTGCCTCCCGTTGGCTTGGTGTAGCTTAGCTTGATACCATTTGAAGGCTTTCGGTTGTTAGCGAATAATTCATTGAATGGTCTTTTGCGCATGATTACGTTTCCTTTTTCTGTGTTCCCCACCTTTAGCTTCGCATTTGGTCTTTCCAATGGAGCAAATTTTCGTTGTGGCATTTCATTCCGATGACTGCATAATGGATTGTATTTGATTAGCATCTTTGTCCACCTGTTTGGCAGCAGCAACCACATCATTGTTTTCATACTTGGACCATATGACCTCATCATTAGCCCTGTTATTAGTCTCATTACAATCAACTTGAGCAAGCTTAAGTATTCCTTCATTTGAAGACCCTGCTGACGAGATGTTCTTCTCCTTAGGGTTCATTTCTTCTTCCATTTCAAGCCTCATGTCTGGGTCTTCATTTTCAAACGAGTCATCATGAATTAACTTTCGGAATTTTGTTCTATTCTTGGACCTTGGCATATTGACAGAAATTTGGTTCACTCGGCTATTGTAGCAACGATTGTGGATTTCCAAGCAGCTCTAATTTTATGCCTTTAATTGGGAATAAATTGTACCAAATGAGTCGGAGTTAATTCAGCAGCTTTTGCAATTCGAATTTGTAGCAATCTTACGCGAAGGGATGCGCATTCATGATTTTCCGGTATCACTTTGCGAGCAGAAAATGGTCTTCGGGTGTTGAAATCTCACTCAAAATTGATGGATTAATGCTTGAGCTGATTCGAATAACAATTAATTAAACGGAAGCAGTGTGAAATTGCTCAAAATCAAGGGTGAATTCGATGGGAGATCCAGCGCTAGGAATGAGATTCCTAGTGAGAGAAGTTCTTCCCTCTCTCTAACCGTTCCCTTTTTTCATGGCACAACACTCTGATTATACTCGCTTCTCTTTATAATAACCAGTGAGGGTCAAATGCAGAAATCAAGCTCTCAGAATTTTCCGTCACTGTTAGGGTTTCGAGAATCGGTTCATCTTAATATGGGCTTGCGGAGAATCACGACCGCCGCGGCTCGAGGACGCCGGCCTCGAGGACTGCGCGCTGTCGCCGGAGTCCATCATGGAGGCGTTCCTGATAGCCGCGTCCGCCGCCGGAACGGTCGTCCCCTCACCCGATGAGGACGAGCCCGGGGACCTCGGCGGCGGAGATCGGCGGGAGGATCTAGCAGAAGACGTACCTGTCGGGAACGAGGAAGGCGCCGCCGCCGAGGATGGCGACGATTTGGTGGAGGGTATTTGCAGTAAAGGCGTCGGTTGGCGACGACAGCTGCAATTTGGGAGGCAAATCGGATGCGACGGGAGGACCCAGTTCGCCGGCTGTTGGCGGGTTGCAGGGGCTGGAAAATGGGGGAACGTGTGAGGGTATTTCTGGGAAAGAAACAAGTTTAGCATAAATTCATAATGCGTATTATTTTCTTGCACCTTGCAATTTTCATTTTCAGTGTACTATTGGATAGAACTTGTATCGTGACATAAACATAAAATAGTTTATATGTTTGAATTTTTCTATAGTAGCGCTTGAGCCGTAAATGAGCCTAGCCAAGCTCGAATCCTTGATCCAAACTCATTAACTAAACATACCTTAAGAGAGTCTGATCGAGCTCGTGATACTCGAGCTAGAACTCGAGTCATTATGAAGTCGAGTTTTCAAAGAACTCCAACAAATTATTCCAACTCCAACATTTATTTTTTCTCCTTGGTGTAATTTTTTTCTTTATTTTTTTTGTTGTTTTCAATAAATATAACTTCTTTCTCATGTTTTTTTTTTCTTCTTCTTAATTTTCTTATGACTTGGGACGTGAATACAAACATTTAACAATTAGGCACAGCACAAAGTATATGTGGAGGATTAAGATCAATCATGTTGATATTTAGACATAACTTCTACCAATAACAAAATAATTCCAAATTTAAATTATACATACATGAAATGAATTTTATTAATAAATTATTATTACAATTACAAAAATAAAAGACAACAAGGCAACAACAATACATTATATACACCTCAAAACCAAAAACACAAAAAAGCACTGTGCAAGAATTCAAACATGACAACAGCAGATCTCTCTCAAAAAAAAAAAAAAAAAAGAACCTTCACATTTTTTACAATACCTAGTTTTATTATAATTCACAAAATCCCCAATCTTGCACTTACAGCCAAATTTTTCAACACCAATTATAATTAATTAGCTGTAATTGCAAGAACTCTGTTCGAATTTAATCTGCTTGTTGCTGGTCGAGTCCATTACTATTGGGCATGAAACTCTTTTACGATGCTTTGTTCTTACGAGCTTCCCTACAACATCTCCCCTTGTCTTGATTTGGAACTCCAAGTTCAGTGGAACTTGAACACCATTGTTTGTCACGACAAGATTTGATCCCGCACCGTATAACGGGACCTTTGTTCCTTCTATATGCGCCAACACAGTCTTCCGACTTTTCCGGGGTTGATAGTATTTTTTCAGCTTCACAAAAAATAACTAGTGAAAATAGAGATACTCACAAACCTCAGTTTGAAGAGGATCGAGTGCAGTTAGTTTTTTCTTCTATATATCAACAATTTTTTTTATGCTCTAATTTGCAAGCTAGAAGAAGAAAAAGAAAGGGTCTCTCATATATAGGTACCTGTCCAGTGGCAACAACTACGTCTGAGTAGACGAGATTGACAGGTGTCGCGCTCACATGAATTCCGTAGAATGTAGCCGGATTGTACACACTAATTCTCAATGAACAGTTCACATTCAGCATCTTAGTTAGAACCCCAGTGAAGTCCGCACCCGAGCCTACGTACATGTTGTTCACCGTCAAACTCTGCAGAGAGAAAGTTAAACACTTGTTGAGCTGTGTGGGAAAGCTGTAATTAATCCAAACAATTCAAAAGATAAAAAAATGTAAGCACCTAAAGATCTTCTTGGCAACTAACTAAGACAACTGGATCTTTTTGTAGTTAAGACTAAACCTCACATGTATGTTGTATGCAATTTATTCCACAAAATAATAAAATCCGACCGGCAATTCTTACCCTCCCACACTCTTGAATTTCCAAATTCATAAAATCCCACAAGAAACCAATCAGAAAACAGAGCCAATAGCAGAACAAAACACCGAAAATCAGAACTAAACCAACAAACAACAATATAATATAAAAAAAAAAAAAAAAANAAAAAAAAAAAAAGGGACCAAAGCAAAAAAATTCTTACCTTGACAGCAACTTGAGCTTTAAAAGGCCTCCCGGCACCCCAGATAATCAAACAAAACACCGTAAAAAGCACGAAAAACCCCAAAATCGCCATCAAGGCCTGGCACCTCCTCGTGTATGCCTTCTCATCATCAAACTCCTCATAATTTCCTTCCTCCACAATCACATTGCACTCGGGCCAGCCCTTTTCGTTCCTCTTGCGGCCCACTTTTCTGCCTGAGAAGCGGCTGGGGCTGGCGGACGAGTTCCTCGAGTGGCGGCCGAACGACGACGGGTGAGAGGGAGACTCAACCGGGCTTGCAAAGTTGGGGGTGGCGTGCACGGTTGATGACTTGTCCCCATCGTGCGAGTCCCGAGACGGGCTTTGGACATAGTACATGGCCCGTTTGGGGGATCTCGAGGGTGATGAGGCGGCTAGGCTTGTAATGTCGAATTCGGATTTCGTGTGCAGCATTTTATTTTTCTCTTTTTCCCCTTTTTTATGCTTATTATAATACTTTAGGGAAGTGGGTCTAGAGGCAGATGAGTTTGTGGTGAGGTTCTGCTGACACTCAGCTCATAAAATCCCCTATAAAGACAAGATTTTTAACATCAAGAAGGAACTCGAACTGAACCCCTTCAACTTCAAGAGAAAAGGCCCAAGAAAACAAACCTTCAACAGCCCAGTACGAGACTGAGATTAGGAAGAAAAAAAGTGAACAGAAGAAACTAAACCTAAAGAATTAGAACAAAAGGAATCAAGAAGCGATTACTTTAGCTACATTAAGCAAATTAAAAGGCTATTTATATAGATAGGTCTCTACACAGATTCATACCAGAGACTGAAAGGCGGCCAGTGTGTGTAATGTGTGTGCAAAATCGTGCATGCTGACTATTTACACAGAGAGGGAAAATCAAAAAAAAAAAGGACAGTTTTTTCGGGGTTGATGACAGCAACTGGCAGATATATAAAGCTCCTATCTGATAGCTGACACGTGTTTTTTGGTAAACGAGGCTGACGCCGTGCCGGGCTCCGAGCCTCAAGTTGGGGTTTCTGGTTTGGTTTTTGGGGACCGACTGTCGGCAGCCACCTGTCACTGTCTGAAGTGGTGGATTGTGGTCCCCCACCTTCTCAAGATTTTTAATGTTATTGAATTTTAAGTGTGAAAATTAAAATTTGGGAATGTAGACAAGTGACCAAATCCCGCTCTTTAATTTCTGTTTATTTCGTTTGGTCAGAGAGGTTTTTATTGTGGCTTTAATTTTCAAATAAAGTTGTTTGTTACTCATTGTGGTTTTAAGTAAAGTTTTTAGCCAATGATGTTTCAGAATATTTAATTATTAATAATCGTATCTTCCTTGATTTATTTAATTCTTGTTAGTAATCATCACATTCCTTGGACCACATAAGTCTTGTCTACTGTTAAATTAAACGAGTCTGAATCGAGTTGACTCAACTTGAGCTCGAAACCTTAACTAATCGAGCTCGAGCTCATTTGGTGCTCGACTCGATAAGGCTCGTTAAGACTCGAAAGAGAATTTATATATAATTTTCTATAGTTTGACTCCTATTAGAAACAGGGGAAGAGAGTGCGGTCCCACCAGATGAAGGCTCACCCTCTTATGGTGCGCCTTCATCTGGTGGGACTGCACTCTCTTCCCCCGTTTCTAATATGGTATGAGAGCGGGCCTGTCCTAGGACCTGCAATGACTATCTCTACCCGTCCTGCTCTGGGCTTGGGCTTATCTCTCTATCCGGCCTGCTATGTGGGCTTGGGCTTACGAAGGACTCACAAGTGAGGGGGCGTGTTGGAATATCACTTGTGAGTGTCCCACATTAATTCTATAGGAAAAATGAGTCTAGTATATAAGCCTAGTGGGCTACTCCTCCCATTCATCAATTAATTTTGGGATGGAACCTCACTAAGGTGCATCTAGGCTCACCCTCTTATGGTGCGCCTTCATCTGGTGAGACCGCACTCTCTTCTCCCGTTTCTAACAACTCCTTAAAACTCGAGATCGGCTGGTTAAAGCTCGAACTCAACTCGTTAATCGAACTCGGCTCGTTAATAGTGATAAACAAGCCGAGCTCGAGCTCGATTTTTGACTCATTTATTTAACAATCGGCTCGGCACGGCTAGTTTACAGGCCCAGTCATGTTAGGATACTTTTCAAGATAAATTAGTGAATTTACTTTAGAAAACTATAATATTTACTTTTTCAAATCTCATTTAATATTTTAAATTTTTACTTCATTTTATATTTGTAAAAGTTTTCTTTTAATTAATAATTAGACTAAATTTTACTATTTGTAAATGGTTTATTTTGGTTCTAGTTATTTTTTACTAGTATAACACCCGTTTATTACACGAGTGCTTGTTAAAAAATTATTCTTAAATATTAAAATTAATGAAAAAAATTATTTTAAATTTTATTTACTTTTTTACAAAAATATGGATTGTTACATATTTTAAAATGACACTTGTTAATTGTATTTTGTAAATAATTCATATATGGTCTATATGTAATTTTATTTCCAATGTCATATTTTTGCAAAGAATTTAAAATAAGTGTTGTAAATATATAAATTAAGGCCAAATTCTTAACAAATATTTTTATTTTCTTATTTGGTTTGTTGGTAACTTAGCCCAAATCAAGAGATTTGGGCCCTCTGTCCAAAGGGCTATACGTATATATAAATAAAAGGGAAAAAAAATCTTTTCATCTCAATACAAAGACACATTAAATTTTTCACACCGCCCAATAAAAAGCTAAGTTTTTCATCCCCGAAAGTGCGAAGGTTATGCGACAGACTGCATGACTGTCGCATATCAGTTGCATAACTATCGCATATTCATCGCACAATGCATTCGCACTTTAACATTTTTTTTTTTCACCCCAGAAAGTACGAAGGATATGTGAATGCCTTCACACTTTTAACTTTCGCACAATGTCACCGCACAATTGTCGCATATTCATCGCACAATGTCTTTCGCACTTTAACTTTTTTTCACCCCTGAAAGTGCGAAGGATATGCGAATGCCTTCGCATTTTTAACTTTAGTACAATGTCATCGCGAAATCGCATATTCCTCGCATAATGCCTTTTGCACTTTCTGGGGCGAAAAACTTAGCTTTTTATTGGGCGGTGTGAAAAACTTAGCATGACTTCAAAACGGGGTGAAAATAACTATTTTCACTAAATAAAATACATCATTAAAAATAGTAGATAAAAGAATTTTGGAACCTTTAATACATATCTTCTTTGATTTTTTTTTTTAAAATATATGTATTAATTATTTGCACATACATATTTTTTAATTAGATTAAATTAGATATAATTTAAAATATTCTTTTTTTATTTTATTAACAATTGTAACAATTTCATTGATATTCATCCGAGATCATGTTTAGTGGGGCCTGGCATGATGCAAATTGAGAAAA